GGTATTTGTTCATAATTAGGCTATGGCATAAGGTAATTTATTACATAGGTAGGAAGGGACTTTTGTCTTCTCACTTTTCTCGGTGTGTTTTTTGTTGTGTCGTTTGTCTTGTTTTGCATCATACACTCTACAGGTATGCGGTGCGGCTTGGTATTGGTGAGATTGGTATAATTTAAGTAGTTTTTTTACTTGATACTACACTTAATGTGATTAATTCATGTGGTTATAACTAATTTATTAATAAAGCAATGAAAAATTATTTTCAGAGCATGATTTACATTTACGGTCTGATGGCTTGGAGTAACATCGTCAGAAGATGTGCTCAAAGATTTTTTGAGCGCATTTTGTCATTGATGCGTTGTCAAGATGATCGGCACAAAATTAAGATAAGTATTATTCTGTTAGCGTTAATATTGGTTTCGCTGTTTTCTTCTTTTCTGCTTTTTTTCTGCTTATTTTTAAATGTTTTTATTCAATTTATTTGTGTTTTGTTCTGCTGTAATTATTTTTTGTGGTTTTTCTAGCGGTGGGTTTTGTGACGTGGTGTGGTAGGCTGCTGCTCTTGCATACATACACACATGCATTGTTTGTGTGGCAGTATTGTTTCTTCTGTTTTACTCCTTCTTTTCTTTCTAAATGAGAATTAGCTAAATTAATTGTAAGCTAAGGCATAAGGTAATTTGTTACATAAGTAGGCTAAGGCATAAGGTAATTTATTACATAAGTAGGAAGGGACTTTTGTCTTCTCACTTTTCTCGGTGTGTTTTTTGTTGTGTCGTTTGTCTTGTTTTGCATCATACACTCTACAGGTATGGGGTGCGACTTGGTATTGGTGGGATTGGTAATGGTTTAAGTACTTTTTTTACTTGTTACTACACTAAATGTCATTAATTCATGTAGTTATAGATAATTTATTAATAATGATGACCCTAACCCTAACCCAGAACGGATGGTGACTCAGATGAGGAGGTGAGGGATGAGGAATTAACTAAACAAACCACACTACTCAGTTTCTTCCATCCAACACAGAAGTCCCAGGACTTAAATGAAAATGAAATGGAACCAGAGGAGGAATCTTCAAACTACATACCCCCAACCACCAGAGGCGCAGTAAAGAGACCCATCCCAACCAGCTCCCTAGGCCGCAAAACCAAGGAAGGGAACAATACCATCATATTCAGCTGCCTCAAGGGGACGGATGAATTGAAGAAGAGGGTCACCTTTTCCCTTGACAACAACACAAAGCTAATAGATGGGTATCTGGTTCATAAGAACATAATCATCAACCCATCCCCCAAGGAACAGAACAGACAGATGTCAGTGGACATTTTTAAGCATATCCTCCCATTCCAGGATGCCAATTGTAACAGGGAAAACATAAAAAAGGACCCACACCCACTCCTCAAGTCGTTCATGAGGAGACAGAACATATTGAATAATGCCTGTAGGAATGAGGAGCACTGCACGTGCATCAGATCATTCATGGAGGCATACAGGGTCAACCAGAGTACTTTGTACAATATAAAAAACATGTAAAGGGTGCGGGTCCACATATGAAGATATTCAAAAAGGTTAGTAATGATTATTATAATTTAAAACCCATAATGCAGATTCATAAGGTGAGCAAACCGAACGTGAAGAAGACTAAAGAGTACATATTGATCAGGCCGTACTGCCCCACTTTGATAACCATATACCATAAGATTCATCTGGCAATGATTAAAAACAATATCATCTGCAACGAGAAAGAAATAACAGTAGCGCATAAGGTACAAAGAAACCTGGGCAGAAACCTGTTCGGTAGGATATAACAAGCACAATTGCAACAACCAGTTAGAAACTCGCAGAAACCTAACAAACAACCAGTGAGAAACTTGCGGAAATCTAACGAACAACATTTAACCAATAAGAGCGA